GGGGAAGGAAATAACACAAAAACAAAACAAAAGGGTGACTAAATGTAGGCCTGTGGTCACCAAGGCAGCTGTAGGTTAGCCACATGTTCTATTTGCTTACATAGGTCGGGTTTCTCTCGCTGTATATAGACTGCTTCCATGTAGCGTAATGTCCGGTCTGTTCGTGCTCGAACAAGAACTCGGAAAGATTTTTTCGGATCGACAGAGTGACCACTGTCCAATAGATGTTTTGTAATAGAGGACCGAGGTACTTTGTCTTTTTGTTTAAAAAGCCAAGAAGGTAAATTTTCAGCTGCCCTGGTCGCTGTAATTAGTTGCCATGCCAGTTCATTTTCATGGGTAGTTAATTACTTTCATTTGACCTGATTGAGAAAAACTCTGTGGGCTTCAAAGCCACACCAGCAAGGAGAAAGGCTTACATACAACGTGTGTAGTGCACCATTTCTGCTACAGTAAACTGACTGCTCAAGTGGGCTTTCCTAAGCAGTCAGTCTAGAATCCACCAGAGGAATTGGCACTCATATGTGGAGGAGGGGAGCAAGTGGATCTCATGCTAGGGTGGCGCTCTGTTAGCAGGTGTGTTGAGCGGTTGAAGCGCCCCATCTAACACTCAGCTACTCCACTCTTCTCCCCTCCGCCTGTGGCAATGTACTTTTCTATCTTTACTAAAAATACTGAGGCTATCAGCTGAGAGCTATGCTGCAGCTGGCAATAGCGAGGTGTGCCAAGCTTACGGCAAACACCGGATGTGATTTAATGGCAGGAAAGGATAGTGAGTACAGCAGCCTTGGCGTCTATCCATAAGTTAGTTTCAGTGATTGGCTTGAGCCAACATTGATCTTTGTGTCCGCGCGTACTTACAACGCCGGTCGCCTGCGCCCAATCAAAACGCCAAGAAGAGGTGCAACAGTGAAAGGAGATAAAGTGGGAATACTGTTTCCGGCTTCTTGGGCGTTGTCAGTCTACATCCGGAGTTGTCGCACCTAAACCTCGAATCCACGTTTTTTGATTATCGAGCTCTCTACCATGGAGCCAAGGGACCGTTCTTTCTCTAGGTTATGTTGGAAGCGCGTTTGCACATATATTTACGTGCCGTGGATAACCTATCCGATGCAAACGGCCCTAATTTGCGTAAGATTCCTAATCGAATCCTGGCAGCTGTTTTCGCCTGGGTTTACTTGACTGTGAATCAAATTTTCCGGTTACAGAAGGAAGCGATTTTTGAAATATTTTCTGCTTATATTGAGGGTCTTTTACAGCCGGGCTCACAAAAAACAAGAAGTTTTGTCCTGCATGGGGGAATTTCTTGGATATCCGGCCACCTCCGTTTTCGCCCAATTCCTGCCTGTTTTCCTTCAATAGAAAAGATTAAACATATAGTTTCCTTTAATTAAGAGCGTTCTGAGCCTTAACTGCAATCAATAAATCAAAATAACCGGATCAATTGTACGCTAAACTACTTATTCATATTTCTACCTTCACATTACATACGGTAGGTTGTCTACTGCATCCCTTATCCCTTTGGAAGCAGGGCTGTCTTTAGAGAGGTCCTATTTGCCTTTAACTTATAACAATAACCTACTTTAGCATTTTGCCGTAGTCCCAATTTCCCTTTTTTTTCGTTAAATTCCGCCAAGATGAGGTGGAATGTCGCTCAATAGGCATCACTATCCTGAGCAACAAAAGCTGGTGGATTTAATTCAATTTAGTACATTAAAAAAATATAAGTTTCTTTTACTTAACTCTTTTTGATTACTTCCAGCACAATTAAATATTCATTTACACAAATTACGTAAGAG